TGAGGAATAAGATGTAAAAAAAGAAAAAAATAGGGAAATGACGTGGAATGGGGCAAAATGCCAAGTTATTTCGAATGATGAGAAATGATCCTTTAGTTTTGAATCCTTTAAACACATGTTTTGATCCTATTTTATCCATTTCTTTCATGATCCCTCACCATGACTTACATTACAACCTTTAAAAGTTCCTTTGGATCAAGTGTGAATGCTTGAATTGAATGATCATATGTTAAACTAAGGCATGCTTGTGATGGAACAGTGGAATCGTGCTACATTGCTTTAGAGATTGAAGTGTGAAAGATATCACTAATGGATGAAAAAAAATAAAAAATAAAAAAAATAAAAAAATGAAAAAATGAAAGCAAAAAAATGAAAAAAAAATAAAAGAATGAAAAAAAAAGATGAAAGAAAATTAAAGAAAATGAAGATTCAAATTGAAAACCAAAAGGGCAATTTGGATAGAAAATATTTGAGTTGAAAGTTGGACACATTAAGGAAGGTCAAAGACATCTGAAGATCTCTCAAAGCTGGGACAAAGTTTAATTAGCTCAAAGATGATATCAAAAGTCAATGGAATGAGTTTTTGAAAAGAATTCTGGATTAATGTTAAGAATTATCTGAGTATTCATTGTTTGGATATTGTTACTCCATATATTCAATACCATTCCTAAGGGTATGCTTTGAATTTGCCCATTTGCCCAATTATTTTTGTACCAGACTTACTTTTCATTGATTACCTTTCCCTTAATTCACCTTGTGCTCTCTCTTTATTACATCCCCAAAATAAATTAAGAAAATATTTGATTGTATTATAATTATCAAAAATTGAAATGATGATGAATGAATGGCAATATGCATAAAAGATTCTTGCATCCCTTTGAAAAGAAATCCAAAATGATAGGAAATAAAAAAAAAACTTGAAAAGATGGTTCGAAAAGACACATGATGTGACCAAGTAATGAATGTAGTGATGGATTGGTTAACATAATTTGTGAGTGACCAAATAATGAGAATCAGTGGATAAAATTTATTTTGGAATGGCTAGTCCTGTTAGTGGTGATCAAGTGATGAACATAATGTAGATCAGAGGATAGAATTTATTTTAAAATGGCTAGCACTGAGAAGCCTATAAATTATGATAAAAATAGTGTAGGTCAATAGATGAAATTTATACTGAAATTGTTAGTACTGAGAAGCCTATGAGTTATGATTAAATGATATAGAGTAATGGACGAAACTTGTTCTGGAATTGTTAGTGTTGAAAAGCCTATGAATGGTGATCAAGTGATGAAAATAATGATGATCAGTTGATGAAACTTGTTCCAAAGTGTTGAGAAGAAACAAGGAGAAAAAATGACCATATTACCACATTTTGATTAGAATTTCATGACATTGATATCTGCATTACATGCATTACGTTGGCATTATTTTTTAGAGAATGTTTAAAACTTTGGGTTGGATATGCATTTGCATTTTGCAGTAAACATTTGAATCATGGTTGAGAAAATGGTATTGTGAGAATTTAAATTGTTGCATTTGCATCATTGATCATGACATTCATTGCATGCACAATTTTGAGTCACTTGAAAAAAAAGTTGTGAATCTTTTGATGAGACTATTTGAGTTCTCAAATGAGAATCTTTGAATTTCAAATAAGAATCTTTGAGATGTAAAACCTTCAAATTTATCGGATATGAATCTTTGAACTTAAATGAGAAGTTTTAGACTTTTAGATGTGAATCTTCAAAATTCGAACGAAAAAGCTTTAAACTTTTTAGATGTGATCCTAAATTTGTCAAATGTGAACCTTTGAACTTGAATGAGAAGCTTTGAACTTTTGGATGTGAACTTTAAAAATTCAAATGAGAATATTTAAATGTTGGATGCGAGTCTTGCAATTTACAAATACAAATCTTGCAAATTTGAAACTAAAATTTTGAGAATCAAATTTCAGTGAATGCTTGCGAAGCTGTAAGGTTCTTACGAATCTGAACCTTTGATTTTTGAACGTAAATTGTGAATTTTTGAGTTTTCATTACAAATTTCATCATATCTGATCTATAACTCCTTTAGACATAATCGTCAAGAAGCATTTTACTTTTCAAAGTTGTGGTGCCTCTGTTTAAATGAGCATTTTATTTTTCAAAGTTGTGGTGCCTCTGTTTAGAGGAGCATTTTACTTTTCAAAGTTATGGTACCCTTGTTTAGAAGAGCATTTATTTTTCTCAAAGTTGTTGAGCCTCTCAGTTTACAAGAGCTTTGTTTACTTAAAAAAAAAAACAAAAAAAAAAATGAAAAAGGGGTGAATATGTTGGGATGATCATCTAAATAGGAAATGTGTTTACGTCTTTGCACAATTTTTGTTTCATAAAAAATGTGCAAAAAGAGACAGTTGTAGACACTTCAATTTATTCGGGTGTCTACTTGTGATTTTTTCTAATAAAAAATAAAAAATAATAAAAAAAAGTAGTTGAATTTGTGTGAAATTGTTAGAACTTATTTGTAAAGTTGGAGTTAGGTTTAAGGTTGAAATTCAAAAGAAATTGGAATTCCTTTTTGGATTGGAGTTCTTAGATTCAAAACCCTATAAATACATACCTACATAGATTACATAAACACACACAAAAAACTAGAGAAAGAGGCAGAAATAAGATAAAGCAGTCAAAAAAAATTTTTGAAGATTTTTTGGGGTTAAAAATTTTTTTTTGAAAAAAATCTAGAAAATTCCCAGATTCCAACAACTTTTTTTAGTCTTTGTCTCAAGCCAAGCCAAGTGAAGCCACTTTTTAACCCATTCTAGCTTTTATTCCTACAATCAAGACGCGCTGTAGCCATTAGAGTCGAACCGCCTCCTGTTTTGGGTTTTTTTTTTCACTTTATTTATTTATTTATTTTTTAGTATTTTTGCATGATTAAATTTAAAAAAATAAAAAAATAAAATATTTTTTAGGAGTAAATATTAATTATCCAATGATGAAATTTATAAAAATTTCAAATAGTAAATTTTTATAAAATTCTTGGTTAAAAATTTTGTCTAAATTTGTTCCAAATGGTAGAATGATTTAGATAAAGTTTTCAGTAATAATAATTAATATTTATTTTCAAACCAAAAAAATAAAAAATAAAATAAAAAATATTGATAAAAATTTTGGAATTAAGTACAAATTACCTAATAATGAGATTCTTAGAAATTTTAAATGATAAATTTTTAAAAAATCTCTAAGTGAGAATTTTTCTCTAAATTTGTTACAAATGGTGAAATAATTTAGATGAAATTTCAATAAAAGTAATTATATTCTTTTCCAAATAAAATTTTAGTTGAAAATATTTGATAATTATTCAAGGATAAGATTCTTAAAAATTTTAAATATTAAATTTTTAAGAAATCTCTAGGTGAGAAATTTCTTTAAATTTGTCCCAAATGATGAAAGAATTTAAATAAAATTTCAATATAAATAATTGTCATATTATTTTCTTTTAAAAAAAGAGAGAAATAAAAAGAATTTTTAAATAGGCCCAAATGATAAAAAATTTAAAAATTTTAAAAAAAAAATTTTAAATTATCTTAAACGGTGAAAAATTTAAAAAAAAAAATTTAAATAAGCCTAAATGGTGAAGAATTTAGAAATTCAAAACAAAAAAAATTTTTAATTTGACCTAAATGGTAGAATAATTAGATATATTTTTAATAAAAAAAATTAATTACATATTTTTTCAACGATGGAGCTTCTTCAAGAAAACAAATGAAATCCTTGAATATTCTTGATGTGAGAGAATATTTTTAAGGATTCTATCGTATTGATGGAAGAATCTTAAGAATTATTTATAATATTTCAACATAAAAATTTGTAACCATTAGAACTAAAATCCTATGATAAATTTAAAATAATATGATACCATTCTTCGGATGGGCATGTGGGGATGCCATAATCTTTCTCACATGTAACCGAACTTTCGAACCATGTTTTGATTTGTAGACCTGAACCTATTCTTTTAAGTACCCTTAGTCGAGCTTAAGGGTTCCTTAAGAGAATAGATTCTTTAGATGACCAATCACATCTAATTAAAAAATATTGGTGGCGACTTCATTTGTTAAGTCTAGCATAGATTTACGGATTTATCTGTTATGACACTATCAATTTCACTTTTCTAATATTTTAAATGATTTTTTTTGTTTAAAAAATTTTGAGATAAAATAAAAAAATATAGATACTAAAATTTAAATTGCAGATTTTTTAAATGTTATTTATTAATGATAATTACTTAAATAATAATTACATAACTAATTGAATTAAAATAAACATTTTTATACGTGGTAAACATAGAAATATTATTTTCCGTTATACGTGGTAAACATAGTAATATTATTTTCCTACTAACTTGATATTTTTGGCCAATTAGTAACTTGATATCCAATGCACACATTTTTTGTAATTACATTTCATGGGAATTAAGACATGGAAGATGCGAGGCACCAAACACCACCAATAAGGGAAACTGTAAAGAAGGTAACGATTGATTCCAGTATTAGTAAAAGATAAAATGATTAGTGATTAAAAAATAAAAATAATAATAATAAAAAAAAAAAAAACATAGCAGAAATACAGAAGATTGATTTTGGGAAGACTTAAGAGGGAAATGTAAATTTCCTCATAGGATAGTCTTAACTTCACGCGCTTCTCTGACGTCTCAACATAACGAAGAATGTTTAAGCTGGAAGCAAGGAAAGTGGAAATCAAATGCGAACATCGCGCTCCGCTTTCAGCGCGTGTCACCTACAATCGCCACTTTCTTAAGCAACAAACAGCCGAGTGAAGAATATTTGCAAAAAAAAAAAAAAAGAAAAAATCTCAAATCCTGTCTTTTTAATTTCTCTCTCTCAGGCCCATTCTTCTCCAATGGTGCCAACTGTCACTCTGAAAGGTCAGGCTAATCTAGTTTTCGTTCACACTCAAGCAAAGAATTTGGACATTCTCTATCAGACCCTCCTTATTCTTTTTTGGCTAATGACTTGATGTTTTGATTTTACAGCTCACATCCTCATCCATTTCAATTATAATACTCAATTAATCAATTAGATTTCTTCTCTTATTATTTTTTTTTTTAGCTTATTAATGTCTTCAATATTTTAAGTTCATGTTGCTATTATTAATCCCAATCCTGTCTTTGTCACACCCATTTTCTTTATCAGAATTTATAGTCTCTTATATGGAATCTTTGCCCTCCTTGTAAACCACTTTGGTTTAATCTTGCACGCAAATCCTTTAATTTATTGCACTGTTTTAGGTGAAGAGTTCCATCTTTTCTTCTCTTTTCTCGTTCGTGTCTTGATCACATAGACTGCTACAGTAAACTGGGTTTTCTTTTTTTGTTTTGGTTTGGCTTTAGTTTGGTTAACTCTGCTTTCTGGTTGTGAGTTGTGATTTGATATTGCCCTTTTCTGGGCGTGTTTTTTTTTGTCAGTAGCGAGAGTGTTGCAGCCTGAAAATTATTGATCAATGGCTGAATCCTTGGGTCCACGATTGTACAGCTGCTCTAATTGTCGAAATCGTGTTTCTCTCCACGACGATATCATTTCCAAGTCTTTTCAGGTAGAGCAAAACAATCCTGAAATTGTCTTTTGAAATTTTATTAGCACCATACCTTTTATGTGTTAGTTTCAGACTTTTCAATTGGGCCTGGATTTTTCTGCATACTATCATTTGATTATAAGGACTTCATACACAGTGAAGAACTATGATCATTGGATTCAAACACTTCATAAATAGTGAGAAGCAGGATGGAAATTGAAGTGCTTTCTGGAAACTAATGATTGATTGGTCAAGTAATAGGGCATGTTTGAACTTGTTTATATCAGTCTTGGACCATAACTTGTGTATGTCATGTGAAATGTGAACAGAACTAGGAAAAACTGCATCCTCTTATAGCAATAATGAATTGAATTGAACATTTCAGAATTGAAATTAGTCTCATTTTTTACCATGATAAAATGATCTTCGGGACTTCTGTCCAAAATTCTTTTCCATAATTTTGTTCTTAGGGAAGAAATGGTCGGGCATTTTTGTTCTCCCACGCAATGAATATTGTTGTAGGACCAAAAGAAGACAGGCATCTATTGACTGGTCTTCACACCGTTGCCGATATCTTTTGTGCTGATTGTCGCAAGGTGTTAGGTTGGAAATATGAACGAGCTTATGAGGCATCGCAGAAGTACAAGGAAGGGAAATTTATACTTGAGAAGGCAATGATTGTTAAGGAGAACTGGTAGCAACCGCACCTTTGAAGGGTCTCAATCTCATTCCATTTATTCCTGTGTTGATGTAATTTTATCAATGCTTCATGTTGATCTTGTACAGAAACTTGTAACCTATTCGAAAATTTGTCATTACTTCCCACCATGCATTCTTAATATGTACTACGTCCAGAGGATGCATGATGGATATTGTGGTATTTTCAACTACTCTGTGTGACATTCCACTGTGCGGTATGCATTGAGCATTGTGTAAATGCCTGTGATTAAAATGATTGTTACAAGAATCTGAGACATTGTTCCTTTTCTCTTTCCCCTTGATGTCTTTGCTATCGCAGGAAAAAGAATTGGTTTTTTCAAGCCCTAGGAGATGAAACGTTACATCTTCTTGTTCCGATGAGTTTGGTGGATTGGTTTGGATACTGGACTTAAACTAGTATCTTTTCATAACTTGCCATGTCAATGTGAGCTCAATGTTTAGCGGTGCTGTAGCCTGGAAGATTCTGAACTTTGGTGTAGACAGTAACAGGGTAATGCCCCCTTTGCATTTTGCAGCTAACAGGATAATCCCAAGCATGCATTTGTCTTTTTTATGATTGGATTTGGATTCGGCCTTTAGCCTTGGGTCTGTTGGTTTGACCTATTATGTTTGTATATTATTCAGGTTGGATTTGGAAAAATATTCAATTCGATTCGATTATCGAGTGGAGCTTCAGTTGTCGAGAGTCGAGTATTCTAATTTTCGGTCTGGCCCCTTCACTTTTTCTCTATCAGCTTAAACGACATAGTTTTTCGTTCTTTTTCCTCATTTTCCCCCTCTACCGAACACAAGATTTTCTTCAAATTTTCCTCAAACCCAAAATAAAGTTGAGAGAATTTCAGATGAACTTGAAAGAAGCATTATGGAGCAAGAGAACAGATTCCAACGAAACTGTCTCCATCATCGCAATCGCCAAAAGACCCAGAATCAGAAGCAGCATTGGCTGCTGCAACGAGTGCGGTCGTAGAGCTAGTTAACTCTCTCTACAAGCAACGAATCTACAGAGAAGTCACCCTCGCTCTCCGCACCCGCCTCCGTGACGCCCGCGCCGAGTTCTCTTTCCTCCGAGTCCGTGGCCTCCGTTTCCTTCTCAAATCCTCCGATCCATTGCCCAGTGTGACTCCTCCATCATCCTCTTTTCCCACACCCAATCCATCTCTGACCTCCAAGGTCCATCACTTTCAAATCCTTTATTTTGGATGTGGGTTTTTTTGCTTGTTTTTATTTTCGTGTGTGAAATTTGGGTCTTTTGAGGGCAGCTGTTCCAGTGTTGGTTGAGCATTCATTGAAGGAAACAGAGGATGATGGAATGGGAAGCTTGAATCATATATTCAGTGTGGAACCAATGAAGATTAACAGTCCTTCCACGGATGCGGAAGTTGCTCTTGCGCTTAGAGTCTTGGAAGGTTGTTGTCTACTCCACCCTGAAAGCACTCGTTTGGCCCATCAACACAAAGCCATCCCGGTAATTCTATATTTATCTTTGAAGTGTATAGATATACCAGAATTTCGATTTAGATTTGTACTTCTAATAAAAGAAGATGGCTTGCTTTAATGAGTGACCGTTTTCTTGTTGATGGGAAATGGGAATTGGGATTGAAAAGTGAACATTGAATATAGTTGTGGAATTTAGCATCACATTATGTCAAAACAAAACAAGAACGTTGTTATTTCACAGCTGCACTATGCCTGCATTTAACCACTATATTTTGAGGAATATAGATCTCACAGTATGTGATGTAATGTAATCTTTGAGTACTTGATATGATACAGGTTTTGATGAATGTCTTATCAACTCCAGGAGTTCTTGAACAAGGTGCATGCCTGGATGCTTTAATCTCAATAATGTTGGATTCCTTAGCCAACCAAATGGTATTTTACCACTTCTTTGGCTGTACTAATGCCTTACATAGTAAACTTAGCTTATATTTTAGTTTAAATTTAGAGTTTATGCTAGTTTAATTTCCATCTTCTTTTGGGCTGCCAATTTTTATTAACAGCTCTTAGTATTCTAATGCTAATGCTACTGACTTACTGACCTAGTTTCCTGCATCATCATGATTGCATAACCTTGAAATCTGTTTCAGCTTGTATGATTATTTTGTAAATTTGTTCGTGCCATTGGTAAAGCATTTCCATAAATCCTTAAAGAAGTTTAGTTGTCAAAGAGAATGTTATCTCCATCAAAAGTCTATGTAAATGATAGCAAAGGTGTTCTTTTTTAGCCTTTTTGTGTCTAGGAGAAAAGGAAAAAAAAAATGAACTTGTTTCCCCTTCGATTTTGGTTCTTTTATTGAAGAAGATATAAGTTGCCAATTCTCTCCCTTGCCTTTTCAATTTTTTACAAGTAACAGGGCTTGGTGACTTCCAGCAATTCAACAAGATTAATACTATGGGCTTCTAGGAAGCTAATGTTTAATATTCCATCAAAATCCTCTCTGATCTGCTAGTCAAAAGCCTCTTGTTTGTAATAGCCATTGTAATTAGATACTCCACCAATCCTCCCTCCATTTCCATCTCATAGGTCTTCCCAGAAACTTAGTTTCTTGTAAACCTAGTTTTATCACTACAGCAGAAATACTTTAACAAGAGTTGGAAACACTCAGGTTAACTGACCTGAGAACATCTTTAATCCCTGAAGTTGAGCAGAGGTTTTATCCTTGACTTTGTAGCCAAATAAGGCTTCTGGATATCTTTCGTATGTTAATTCCATCCTGTATGTGTGCTTGATATTTTTGCTATTGCTTCTAGGATTTTGAAGTATGTAACGGCATTGAGGATGTTGCAGAGCTCATACTGGACAAGCAAGTGGATGAAAATCTCAGGTACTCAAAAATAGTAGCTGGAATATTTATTTCGAGGCCTTGTTCTCTTTTTCTGATGCCCCTGTTTATCTGTTATCCTATACGGTAAACCACCCAATTAAAATAAAATAGGAAATGTATTATTTTATCAATGAAGCTTGCCTATTGATCAGATGACACTGATCTCCCAATACTTTTTTTTTTTTTGTCTTTTTAACACTGATATGTCTCACTATTCCGTTCAGGTTGAAATGTGGCGAGTTCTTGCTTCTACTCGTTGGACATGTAAATGGAAGGCAAAGATCTTCCATGGCAACCATTCATGAAGATGTAAGACGACTTTTAGGTGAAAAATCTGCTTCCTTAATATGGGCAGCAAGTCAATTCGGCTCAACTCTTGATCCAGAACAGATACTGACAGCTCTTCACATCCAAGCCCGCAGGGTTCTGGAATCCCTAGACTTGTACTGAGTCTGAAATTATACTTCTGCTCTTTATAGTTGCTTGTAGTTCCATGGAAAATTTCATTGTTGAGTTAATATCTTATTTTTTGGAACCCACGCTGGTTGTTAGTGACTGCTAGTCATGTTAGAGGAGAATATTGCAGAAATTTAGATCTCTGATTCATCGTATACTTGTACAAAATTATACAAAGCAGCAAGTTACGTGCATTTACAAAGCGATTGTTTTATTGTGAAGGGTTAGCTTATCCAAAGTATAGCATAGATGTCTTTTGTTCTCTCATGGGACTTGTAATATGCAAGAAAAAAATGAATATCATCTGTGTCCTCAATCCAATTGCATCCTTGGAAACATTGCAAAATCTTTATTATTATTATTTTGTCTTGTTCTTGCCAGATGAGACCATTTTCCAGTGTAAGCGTATAATTTTGCCAACAGTACAGTATTATTTGGCTCCAATGCTGTGAGTACCCCTGCTGCAATTTTTCCCAACTCAACATTAAATGAATGACACAGCCGCCAAGCAAGGCGCCTCACGTCACTGAATCAGCTTCCATTGGAACTCGCTTGATAAGTTCATAAGCTTCTTTAAGCTGATCTGATTGACTTAGCAGATCAATCATGCATGTATGGTGCTTTATGGTAGGTTTGACATTATAAGGCTGCATCAGATCATATAATTCCTGACCCATCTCAACCGATCCAACATGAACACATGAAGAAAGAGTGGAAAGAAAATTGACATGATCTGGCGTAAAGCCATTTGCTATCATTCTTCTAAAGAGAGCAATTCCATTCCACCCTCTCACGTCCATGCATGTGTTACGGAATTAAGGAAAAATTTTGAATTTCACATTGAATATAAAAAAAAGATCATTGGGGTATATAAGAGTTCACACTATTTTTTCTTTAAAAGACGCCTTTTGTAAGATAAAATCGTGAGGTTAGGGAGATCAGAGCGAACAATACCTCACAAGTATGTGAATCGTGGTAAGTAAGTTGATTTGAGACGTTGGATGAGTGGATGCCCGGATCTCGGAGCCGTACGAGTTTGAAGTTTAAATCTCGACCCGTGACAAGTAGTATCAGAGCTAACCTTAAACCGTTCGATCTCGAACCGTGACAAGTGGTATCAAAACGCTTTGAAAGAGGTAGGTAAGGTGGCCAGCTTCCGTGATGAAGACGTCACGAGGTTGGGTGGGAGAGAATATTACGGACCTGGAGAAGTCTTGAATCCCACATCGAGTTCACACCATCTCTTTCTTGTGAGGCGTCTTTTGTAAGACAAAACCATGAGGTCAATAGAATCCCACATCGAGTTCATACCATCTCTTCTTTGTAAGACGCCTTTTGTAAGACAAAACCATGAGATCAGGGGGAGTCAAAACGAACAATACCTTATAAGGATGTGAATCGTAACAGATAAACTGATCTGAAAAGTCAGATGAATGGATGCCCAAATCCTGGAGTCACGCAAATTCTAAACTTAAGTCTCGACCTGTGACATATTGCATATGCTCTAAGCACGGCATCGTGGGACACACCAAATTTGGGTCTGAGATTCTATTATATGCTAGAAGTGGGTACTGTGTACTCCCCACATTTACCATACATGTCGACAAGGGCTGCTCCTATTTAGACATCAGCATCATAACCACATCTAATTGAATGTCCATGAACCTGCTTTCATGCTCAATGGTGGCCGACCCTGAACAAGTAGGTAGAATTTATTCCAGTAAGTATAAATGCCAGTCAGGCCTCATTTTTGAATTCTGCATTTCAGAGACCAACTGTATGGCTTTGTCGTATAGGTCATTTTATACATGGCCGGAAATAATACCATTCCACGCATAAACATTTGTTCAAAACCATCTTCTTTCATTTTTCTAAACAGATGCTGAATGTTTTAAATCTGATTGCCGGGGGCATAGCCAGATATCGAAGCATTCCATGTTCCATCAGAACGTGCTTAAATAAGTTCAAAGCTTCATGAAACAGGAAGTTGCTTATATATCCAGGTATCATAGAGTTCCATGAAACTAAATCCTTCTTGATAGCCATAATCCCCATCTGATCAAATAGCTCATTGGCCTTGAAAACATTACCACCCAACAATCCCTGTATTACGAGAAACCACATTTTTCACTTGGAACTTGAAAACAATTGAAAACTTTCCAACGGAAAGCACTTGCCATATCACCAGACCTCCTATACACATCAATTAACCCATTGACAACAATAGGGTTAGACATAAACCTATGCCTCGTGATATATCCATGAAATTCTTTGCCGAGGCTCAACTTCTGTGATCTAGCACAAGCTGGAAGAACACTAGCTAGAGTTTGTGAAATTGGTACCATTCTAAACTTCTCAATGGCTCCTCATCATAACCACTTTGTGAGAAACCTCTACTAATTAGCCGCACTGCAAGAAACAAGATTTGGTCTTGAATTCTCAAATAAAGCATTTTTTTATAAAATTTTAAAAAAGAAAAAACTATTTCTTCGTTCACCTCCCATTGGTAGCACAAGCGGTAACAACAGCACTCCATGACCCATGATCCTTTTCAGGTATTGTCTCTAGAACTTTCTTAGCATGATCCAAGCTTCCACATTTACCATACATATCAATCAAAGCATTACCTACACAAATATTAGAAACAAATTGATATTTAATCAAAATCCCATGTAATTGTCATCCTATTTCCATGTTACCAAGACCACAACAAATTTTTAATATTAACAGGAAACACAAAAATGTCCAATAAAATATCCTCAAACAGTAATTTCTCAAAAAGGGTAAAATGTGTCTTCAAAAAGCTCATAATCCACATACAAGCTAAAGATAGCTGTCCAAGAATACAAGTTTCTAAGCGTCATTTTATCAAATGACAAATCCGCATCATTCAAACAACCAAACTTCACATACACTTGAAATTATGAGCTTGGACCTGTTTTCCAAGGATTGGGTTATTGCAAGATTCGAGAATTCAAGCACAGGTGCTTGAACTTACATGTTTATCAAGCAACAAGAGTGTTGGGCATGTGAAAGTGAGGTTTAGGAGGGATTTTGGCGAAGTGATGGTGAAGGTGGTGGGACGGTGATGGTTTCCCACATTTGAGCAATCATTTTCTGAGCATGGGAGGTAGGCAGGTAGCCAACTCAAGTACTATAAACGGAAAGCAAGGAGTTACCAACATGTGCAATGTCATTATTAACACAATTCTAATGTTGTTGCTTTGCTGTCAGCTTGCCTTTCAAAGATCTTTATGGGTCTGCTTGGTTATAAGGACGCCCATGGGTACTTATGGCCTAGTGCAGGAAAGAAATTTTTCATTTTTCATTTTTTTTCCTTTGTTCAATTTGCCTTCCTGCTAAACAAAGTGCGTAAATTTTCAATACTGCTTCACCTGCTTTTTGTTTGTAATCTATTAGAGATTCATCATGTGCCCAGAACTGTTAATTGCACCTTTAAATACGAAAGCCCTACCAATACCTCATTTCAGATAACAAAAAGAAAAACCATTCCAAAAAAACAACATTTATTCAAGCTGTGCTCTGTCTGCAGTACTTGTTGTGGCATACACTAATTATAGAATTATCCCGCACGACATGACTTGATTTGTGTCCTTCGTGAACCAATAACCCCCACAAAAAAAAAAAATAATAAAGAAGGGTTATATGCAAATGCCAAGTTCAAATCTGATGGTGACATTGCGGAAAGCCGATCACCATCACCGGCTTTCAACATAGCTTAACAGTTTCATATGTGACGCCCCCTATTGCCAGCAATGTGCAAGTTGCGGGGCATGTCGACACTTTAATGGAAAAACCTCACAAAATTAAACCTGTTTTGCTGTAAGTAATTTTCTCGGTTGGTCACGACTCAGGATTAGAGAAATTATGGCATGCACACAAGGAATATTTGGCTATAGCTTGTGGAGATCAAAAGAAGTACAGTTCCAAAGCTAAGATGTTTGAATTCTTATACAGGTAGTAGCTATAGGAGCTGCTCTCTTTTCAGGATTTTTCAATATGTTAATCAAGCTGGTAATTTTCTAATTCAAATCTTATGGAAGGTTTCTTATTGATGTTAATGACCATGAGACTATATGCAGGCAAATATTTCTGAAGGCATATTCTTGTATTTCATTGGTGAAAGTTGATCTTAACAGTAAAAAGGAGGCCAAAAACTGGTAAAACGTACATAAATTCTAATTATCACCGACACTCTAGAGGCTGACTCGGAATGGTTTGAAAATCTTGCCCCATAGCATTGACAATTTCAGGACAGCAAAAGGAAAACCATCCCAAGGAAAAAATAATACAGCTTCTGATGCCCAAGTTTGGCAAGAAAGAGACCTCCATGATGGGGGTAGTGATTGGTTAACCTCAATTCACGGCTTTGAAACACCCTTTAGTGGTGAACACCTTGGACAAAATAATATAATACTACCATTGGGTCTAATGCTACATATATCCACTACTTGTTCCATAAGTAATAATTAATATATAAATAAATCATGGAATCTATAGGAGTAGGACAATCTGTGAAAGATTTTGCCAAGGGTGGATGAAATTATTCCTGGGCACAGCTCCCAAGGAGAATGTTTTTGGGTCCCATTTCAGACCGCATTTGGGAATCCTAGTCAAGCTGAGAGCTTCTTGTCTTCGATTTTACTAGTAAAGAAAGAAAATGCGGTGGGACGGTGGCAAGTAAATGGAAATGGAGCTCATTGCTATGCAAGACAGAAATCACAATATATATATCACAATATATATATATATATAAAATAAGAATATATATGTTACTGGTTAAATGGGAGGAAGATATGTGTTCTAGAAAACCATAAATAAAACATATAGATTATTTTAAGTAATCTAGACCTTAGTCTAAAATATTTATTCTTACATTTATGTCATGAAATCATTCAAAATAATTATAAGAACCAAAATTAATCATCCCCGATCACGTTTAAAAGAAAAGGTTTGTACCAAAGAAAAAAAGGATAAAGATCGTAGGTACCAAGCCTGCAACAGAAAGTGGAAAAGCATGTGCAGGGAGGGGTATGGCTCATATGGGGTCGGTAATTCATTTCTTGGTTATATTCCTTCTCAAGACAGTACACTTGCTTCTGAAGGTTAAGGGGGTTGGAAGAATCTCTCAAAACCCAGATGTGCCGATAAGACCTTACCCTTGTGACTTGTTGACAAAGCAAAAAAAGAAGGAAAAGTATGCTGCAAAACATTGACGGCCATTATTCCAACTCACTTGGAGCTCAAGGAAAATCCATGGCTGTAATTAGTACCAATTTCCCCCGCAAAAGCTAGTGTTAAATTAAACCAAAATCATTATCTGTTCATGAAACTGCTAACATTCTTCTTTTTTTAAAACTTTTGGCTACCTAAGTAACGACATGGCACATTATTAGAAGATCAACAACATAAAACACCGGAGAAGGGGTCCTTGAATCACAACCCAAGCTGTGGTGGAAAACATGTGAACAAAAGTCACAGTGCAACTGTGTGCATTGCAACCCCAAGAAGCAGCAAGTAGCCAAGAACTCTAGCTCCTTTCTTGTCTTATAGCTGAAGCTCTCAAAAGAAACAAAGAAAAAAGAGTCTCCTGCTGCTTTTACATTTATGCACAGCATTTATGTCAACCTTTTGAAGCTGACCTAAAAGAAGCTTCAAACAACCACACTGATCAAAAGAGTAGAGAAAGGTACTACAGCATTACAAGTAAAAGGGAAAGAGGTAAAAGGCTAAAGTTGAAAGAAAGGCTGAAGCCCCATGTACCCTGACTGTTAGTAATCAAACATCAAACTAGTCACCGAGCATGTAAGAAGAAAAGGAAAAACACCACCATCTCCCTGTTTAACCATGTTATATTTAGCTGTTCATTTCACCAATGTCCTCCGTCCAACATTCCACTCCAATATCCAGTAGATCCTCCTTGCACTCTATTCTGCTCCAATTCGTTAGTGGTGCTGCTTGAAACCTGCTTCAATTCCTCCATTGGAAACAAAAGCCTAGCACCACTTTCTTGTATCCCTTGAAGATTCCCATAGCCAGTTTCAAATCCATCAAGAGAAAAATTGAGAGTCGGTTTAAAGTCTTGCATTGGAAACCCACTTGAGTACACTGTGTTGGAATCAGAAATTGGCATTGACATGAATGAACTCAAGCCTGTTGAATTAATACCAGTCTTCAGCAGCTCCATAGCATTGAGATGAGTCGAAGTTGAGGAGCTAGAGTTTTGCTGGTTACTTTTGTTACCTGCGCTATAGGGCATCTCTACGAATTTTGACAAGATATCGTAGTCTTCAGTTGGTGGTGGATAAGCTATGTTAAGGTCTTGACCTTCATGGATCTTAGGGTTTTGAGAAGCAGAATGAGGAAGACCAGGTGAGGTCAGATCACCAAGCTTCTTTGATGAAGCTGGTGATGATGATGAAGATCTCTTGTTCTTCCTTGAACCTCCTCCAACAGGAACATTCCTGAGGGAACCACCATCGGTCCAATACCTTCGACAAGTCTTACAGAAGTATCTTGGCTGAGAAAGACTGTAGTTATTATAGTAACAAAACTTGGTGTTAGTTGAATTGCACCTGGGACAGTTCAAAGCTTGATCCTTTTGAGGCCTAGCCCTTCTCTCCACCATAGGTCTTGAAGCTTCCATGGGCTTAACTATCCCAATTCCCTGAAATTTTTAACAGGGAAAAAGAAACAAAAAAAAGGGAAAAATCCATGACTTGATGATCAAAGAAAAGCGTTTGTCTCTCACAAAACTAAACTTGATAATAAAGATGAAAGAAGAAACAAACACGACAGAGAAAAACAAAGGACGCTGCTTTGCACTTTGAAAGATTACACCACCAATAAAAACAAATAATAATAGTAACTTTTTACCGGGTCCTTTATCAGATGGCGGAAAAAGAAAGAAAAAAGTGCAGTACTTTCTCAAACAGAAAAAAATGAAAGATCTTAAACGACAGCAACATAAATTCAACCATTAGTGGGGCTGAACAACATCATCTCATGGCAAAAAAAAGTGCAACTTTAAAGCGAGTAATCAACAAAAATTCAAAACCCAAAGCTACATATATATATATATATATATATATACACACATATATATAAATATATAATGAGCTTTGAAAAACTCAAAACAGGAAAGAAAAAAAAAAAGGAAATCATGATTTCATGAGGAGAAAAACAAAAAGAGAAGAAGACCCTTCTTTACCTGTGGCCACTGAGCTGTATCCATGGATTAAAGAGTTAGAAAAAGGGGAAAGACGAAAAGAAAAAGCTATGGAGTCTTCAAAGAGAGGAAAATCACCCCACTTTGCTAGGAAGCTGGTCTTAAAGCCAAAAGTAAAAGATGATACACTTTGAGGGATGGTATTTATGGTGGTTCCATGTGTTGGCCTACTACTAATATGAAATGAAAGAGAGAGAATGAGAGAGCGCACTTGAAACAGGGACAATTTTGTCGGTTCTGTTCTTATTTCATTATTGTATAGTTAAAAAGAAAAAACCTGACTAGTTTCTACACAGTATACATATGGGAAATTTCTGTAAATTGCATCCATGTTTTTTCCAATTAAAAATATTGTTGAATTCTTGCAATAGCCAGTCAGTCACTCGATCTTGTTTTTTGTTGGGGGTGTGCCGAGTGCGTCTGCACTGTAGACTTTAGTTGGTTCTTTTCTGACTAAAAGGATTCTTCTCCCATTCTCTTTCCACTGGTTTTTTTTTTTTCTTGGTACAGAGAGAGAGAAATGAGAATAGAAAGAGCGCAAGCTAATAATCGGTTTGCTTCAATTCCCAACAAAGTTAAAATGTTGAAATTTAAATATTTAGTAATTTTCTTTTATCATTTTAAGTTTTTAAAATAATTTATTATTTCATTTTAATTAATTTGATAATTTTAAATTAGACAAATAATATGATATAAAAATAATATTTTATAAATTATGTATATATTTTATATAATCATATTTTATATTTTAATTATATTAATATTATAAGTATCGTATTTCATTTTTTGCGTTTATCACATGTTCAAGACATAATTAATTAATTATATTTTAATTAGGTTATCATGTCAGCACATATAAATAGCACGTTTATAACACATGTAAGTGATATCTTTTTCTTATAATTACTTACATTTATGTTATAGTTATGTTTGTTTTCTCATGGAAAATATTCCACTAAAGTGTTAATTGTGTTTAAGGTTTTAATATTTTTATTATGTTATTATTTTAGTTTAATGTTGAATTGTTGATTCGATATTTTAGTGTTAATTGTATTTAATTAAGTTAATCATGTCTAATCATGTTAATTATGTCGTATTTTATTATTCATTCTTGTAATAGATGAAAATATGTTAGTTATATAATGTCATGTGTAATATATATAATAAACGTGTCAAATTCATGCTTAAATTATTTGTGTTATTTAAATATTCATTTTGTATTTATATTAAGACTATTTGCATCATATTTGACACAAAACACAACACAATGATACAAATTATCAAATCTAATTTTAATTTAATATCTTTTTTGTTTATTGTGCTTTGCTTAATTTCTCTAATCATTTTGAAGTTACATTTTTTATATTTGAATTCATATATAAAATTTTTACTCATTCATCTTATTGCAAGAAAAAACATATTAATTAATAATAAATTTATTTTAATTATTTCATACCATTATATTAAAAAAAATTTAATACAATTATTTTTAAAGAATATTTAACAAGTTTAAAATTCAAATTATAATATGTATAACCTTTTTTTATTCCCAAAATACAGTTTTCTTTAAGGTAAAGAGTATAAAAAAAACCTTTAATTATAATAAAAAAATTATCCAAACCTTTATTTTTTACTGCAATTAATCAACTCCTCCTATATTTATTTACATTCAATTAACACTTTATCTTAATAAAAAAAGTTAACACCATTAATTTTTTTTCCAACTAAATTAAAATGTCATGTTACTTCAATAAAATAGATGAAAGTTTGTTATTGGAACAATTAATATATGTAAAAATTAAATAAAATAAACTTTTTTTCTTTTTTTTCTTTATTTCCTTTCTTTCTAAGATCCTGATTTAATTGACTATAACTTGAAGATTGATTGATTAAATTTTATCACGTGACTAAATTTCATTAATTTAAGAATCAAATTGAATTGAAATAAAAGATTAAAAACTTAACTGATTGCAATAAATTATTACTGACTTAAATGATTATAAAATTATAGTTTAAGGTCATTTTTGACCTCTTAGCCTTTCCTTTATGAAAAAAAAAATTATATTACTATTAACTAAAACTTAATTCAATTAATTTACGTAATCATCTTTAAAAGATTATATTTAATATATTTAAAATTTAAATCTTAATATATGTAATCTCTTTATTATTGCAAAACTATGATCTCTTATAATAAAAAAAAATACTAATACTTAAATAAATAATTAAATCATTTCTTATTAGTTTAAACTTTTAAAATAGAAATGTGGAGCTAAAAATTAAATGACCCAAAAAAAAAAAAACCACTTCATTGAATTCAAGTCCAAAAATTAAAAAAAAATTGAAAAAAATTCGGACACATTTAAAATTTTTCAATGAACACCTCAAAAATTAAAAAATAAAAAAAATTTCTCTAAAAATCTTTTTTACTTATAAAATTGATAATTTTTTTTATATAAATTATAAGTGGACACGTTCAAAAAAAATTGTGGATTCATCATTGGCCAGGGGCGTAATTAATTCCAAACTAGTGGAGTCATTTGATTCCATTAAAATTTAACATTCTTTTATATAATATTGGATAATTTACAAATTGATCTCACTAAAAATGAATTTGAGAGGTCAATTTATTAAATATAAAATTTTGAGGATCAATTTATAATTAATAGAAGCTAAAAATCACATATTTATCTTTTGTCTTTAAAAAATTAACCAAAAATTTAATAAAAACAAGAAAGATATCATTTGGAAATGTTGATGATGAAGCAATTATACAACAATATTAAAATATAAAAGCTTGTTTGTGGTAATTGTGAAAAAAAAAAATCTTCATAATGTATATTTTTTGTTATTAATTTATCTTAATTTTTTGTAATGAAATATATTGTTGTTATGTAAAGATTATGTATGAAAATTTTATATTTATATATTTATGTATTGTGAAAGTAATGCTCTTTCAGTTCATTTTTGTATGTCCCATTTTAATTATTTTAGAGATTAAAAAAGTTTCAAGTTTAGTGTATTTTATATTAAAATTTTTTTGTTTTTTATTAAAATTGATGTTTCATAATTTTTAGATAAAAAATAACATATATAAATAAATTTGAAATATAAAAAATAATAATAGTAATTGCCATTGGAAAATAAAAAAAATGAGACACATGAAAAAAAAAATAATAATAATGAGACACAGATTATAACTAATAGATCCAATTGAAAGAATGTTCTGGTTACGCCACTGCCACTCGCTACAGAGTTAACACGTGAAAATTCATGAAGTCGTGATTCATTCACAAGACTTTTCTTTGCTTTTATTTATTCTCATTATAAATTTTAAAAGGACAAAATGGTAAAGGAAAAACGTGGGTTTCATTTAGAGATGGACAATGAATTGAGTCATGATAAGTTTTCGTTTGATCTAACTTTGACCTGATCCTAACCCCTTGATATTTATACCCGAATGTTATCTGGTATTAAAATATTATTTTTTATAATTAATCTAATTTGTATATTTATAAATTGTAATTGATTCAATTTGATTTGAAATTATTTTAATAATTTTAATTAAGTATAATATTTATTAAATTTTATTTTTTAATATAAATTATATCTTAATTATACATAAATATAATATTTTTATTAAATTAATATTTAAAATTAAAATATTAAATAACAATTTTATTAATATAATACATATATAAATAAAAAGTAAACAAATAATAAAAAATATTATAAATATATATTTGGATTGGATTTAGTGTGATGCCATCTAAAATTCAACTTTAATTCGAACTTGACTTTAGAAAGAAAACCTGACTCGATCTTCGATTTAAAAAAAAAATTAATTCTATGTTATTGAAATAAATTTGTTTGTACCGAGCTCCGATCTTAAGGTATTCTTGAAAAAACAGAAGAGAAGGATGATTAAAGGCAAAAGGTAGGGAGTGTTCCTTGCTTTTCCACTCTGAAGCTCAAGTCAGAATGAGTGAGGTTGAAAAAAAAGTAGTAAGGAGAACTAATAATAGATTAAACTTGCCTTAATGGTGCATTGACTTTCGTATTTATAGATAAGCGATAGGGGATCATTAAGAGACAATAAGGATTTGGCTATGTTGATATGGCACTGAGTGTATTAGATCAACCTGACATGTCAGGTCGGTACAAATATCGAAATTACCTCTGGTTGTCTGTTGAAGGCTTCTAACATGGAGAAAGATCACTATACCCTTTTAACCACTAAATATACCCAACATTCTGTCTTCCATTAAATAGTTTGAGTATCAGACTAATGGGTATGCAATCGATGCATTCCATGCAAAGCGAATAGGTAAAAGAAGATGATGTCAAATTTGATTCTTCACAACCAACGTCATAGAAGAGGTTGGTGTTGAGAGACCATTAGTACTTAAGTCGTGTTCTGACCAAGTGGGGGTTTGTTCTTGCATGTATGTCTTGGGTTGAGTGTATAGCCAGCTTAAAGGTTGCCAAAGTGTCAATTGTTTAGGATGATCCAAGACTAGTGTTGGAGTTTATTTGATCGATGTGGGACTTGTGTTTTATTTATAGAGTCTGGATTTGAGCCTCTATTTTAAACGTTGACAAAGAATTAGGCATCCAGCCTATCATGGGAAATCATTTGATCTAGTTGATTTAACTTGAGGTCCGTCCGATTTGGTCAGTCTGGTGGCATTAAATGGGGAAAGAGGTAGTTTGAATAAGAAAATTTTAAAAAGAAAAACGAAAATATATCTTCCTATCTTCGCTCTGACATATGACATAGTTTATGTCGTTCATCTGATCTAAGACGTGACTATATAAAAGGCTGTTAGAGCTTTCAACTTTTACTTTTTTATTTTCTTTGATGTTCATTCGGTCTAAATTTTTCTATCTAAAAAACTTTTCGACCTTATTGTTGTTTTTCTTATTGTGCATTTTCTCCACTTTCTTCGATACGTACTTTCAATTATGTTTCTAGATTTAGTTTTGGGAAGGCTGGGAGTTTCAAGGTAGAACCTAGAGGGTTAGCTCAAGCAGAACAACGATGACTAAATTTGGCCACTCATCAAAGGTTGTGATTGTTAAAAGATGGTCTTTTGGTTCCATTCGATGTATAAAGAAAAGCAGCAGCGAAACAAGGACAATGCTTAGGCAAGGGGATAATGGGTACTAAGCACAGAGAAACTATGT